GAATATATATTCTCTCATTCTTCATTATGTCTGGGAAGTTTTCCTCTAGTAATTCTTCCACAACTTTTTCAGTGCCTTTACTTGCTTCTTCCTTTAAGCTGTTTACATTAAGTGTGATTATTGCTAGATAAAGTTTTATCATTGCCATTTTGCTGTGTTCCCTTTTCTGTTGTTGCTAATCTCTGTGTCTTCCCTTAGTATTTCTTGTAGATTTGATCTTGTTTTCATTAATTTCTTAAGTTCCTCCTTTTCAGCAAATGTCCTAATTTCCCCTTCATATTTGATGGGCAGCCTTGCTGGCTACAGGATCCTCTGCTGGCAATTGTTTTCTTTCAGCCTTTGGTGTATGCCATCCCAATAGTCTTCTTTCTCCCCTCGTTTCTGCTGAGAAAGTCAGAGCTTAATCTAATTGGTTATCCTTTGTAGATGAATCTTTGTTTTCCTTGTGCTACTTTTAGTATTCTATCCTTATCTTTGATTTTAAAGAATTTGACTATGATATGTCTTGATATTTTACTTTTAGGGTCTAGTCTGTTTGGTGTTCCCTGAGCTTTTAGAATGTGTATTTTGTGTATAATGATACCTGGAAAATTTTCTTCTAGTATCTCTTCTACAATTTTTTTGTTTCTTTTTTAAAATCCTCCTATTCTGGAATTCCAATCATGCATATGTTGTTTCATTTTATGTCATCCCGCATGATTCTAATATTTTCTTCAATACCGTCTGTCTTCTTACTGTTTTTCCTTATTGTAAATTCTAAGTGAGGTTCTTGTCTTCTATCTTGCAGAGTCTCTGTTACATCTCTTCTGTTTTCTTTCTGTTTTTGTTTTTTGTTTTATTTGTTTGTTTTTGGGTCTCCAATATGTTGAGAATTTCTGCCATTTTGGTCTTGATATTCTGGATTGTATTTCCATGCTTTTCTGTTGTTTCTAGTACTATGTTGTTCAAAACTGTGTTTTGTGATTATGTTTTCATTTCTTGTTGCTCATAGTTTCTTTCAACTCTTTCTTGTAACATTTATAACTTCTTCAGTATCAGTTCTTGGAACTCTGAGAACACAAAGGAATTCTATCTTCTTGTCTCTGAAGTCTTCATTGGGTTCTCATTTTGGTCTGCTTTTATAGGAGAAGATTTAATTTGTTTTTCCATCCTCTTACTGTTTCCTTGACATTATGTGAAGTGAATGGGGAGAAGGGTATTTCTCCCCTGAACAGACAAAGCCTCTGGGAGGAGCTAAAAAGTCCCCAGAATGTTGCTTGAGACCCTTCCCTCCCCAAATCTTGATGGTCTACACTCATAGAGTACCTTTGTCTTCTCCTGAGTCTGGGTGGAAGAGTCCACTTCCACTTTGGAAGACAGAGCTTCTGAGGTGATCAGGGAACATCCTAGACATGCAGCCTTTCCAGGCATGCGTCTATGGATCCTTTCCTTCCTTAGTCTAGGTGATGTGTGTTCTGTTTAGCATGTACCTGTGTATTCTATGGCTGGGTGTAGTCTGCCTGAAGTCCTCTTTGGTCCTTTCTAGCAGGAATACTTGCCTTGATGGGTGAGCTTACTGCTCCAGTGCTCCCCCTGCCTGATGTCCTATTTGATCCTGGGACTCATGAATTATATCTTGAATGGAACTTGATATATTCAAGAGAGTGGTATTTTGAGTGTGAATATTAGTGGTATTTATTAGTTGGAGAAAAAGGGCCGTGAAATTAAGTGTGGCCTGGTGGCCTAGTGGGTAAGCAGTTGTGCTCCCAACCCAAAGGTAGTTTGAATTCACCAGCTATTCCTTAGGAGAAAGATGGATAATCTGGATAATCTCCTCTCCTGTGATTTATAGCCTCTCATAAACCACTGGAAGGTTAGCTATTGGTTGATTCTGAGTCCATGGCAATGAGAGAAATTAGAAAATGGAAATTACTGTAATAGATTGAAAAAAATATTTTAAAATTATTTCTTTTTTTATCTCTCCCTCTTCCGTCCCTCTGTCTTCTCTATCTTTCCCTTTTCTCTCACCCTAAACCATGGATCTCACAGATTGGTGTCCAAGAAGATGATACTTACACAAATGAGTAGCTTCTACATACGCAGTTTTGGCCTTCTCTTCCTGATCAATAGTTTCCCAGAAACGACTGGTCAAGGTGAATCAAGACGACAAGAACCAGGCGACTTTGTAAAGCAAGATATTGGAGGGTAAGAACCATTGACTCTTGAACTAAAAAGGGCTGTGATCAATGTTTACTTTAGTCCAAAACCTCTGATTTTGTGAAAATGTGTGTGTGTGTGTGTGTGTGTGTGTATGAATGAACCTCTGATGAATTTAAGTCCTCTCATCCTGATGTTGAGTGATTATATTGTAATGGAAAAAGAACAGTTGATGCATACTCTTACCGTGGAAAGAGATCTCAACTCATTAGTTGACTTGAATCCCCTCTGTAACAATTTAAAAGCAGTCCTGTCCGTTTTTTGCCTCTTAATTGTCGATTTTCTCTTCTGTAAGTTCAGTTTGTGCCTTTCTATTGCATCTGACCCATTGGCATTTAAATGTGATCCGGAATCTCCTATGTTAGGGAAAACCCCCAAAACTACCCCCCCTTTCAGGTATCTCAATGTCTTTTCTCCCCTTCAGAATAATAATTCTTTTTTTATTTATTTGTTTATTTTTCCATTTTAAATTTTTATATGAACGAAAGTTTACAAAGCATTTTGAATTTCCCCCCCTCACCACTCATTTGTGTGTATTTTGTTCTATAATATTAATTAAAATACACATAATGTCTGAGGTACTTCTGTTTTCAACTTGTGGCTGCACCATTTTACATTCTCATTAGCAGTGTTCTTCAGCTCCAGCTCACTTCTCCAGCTGCTGCTATCTGACTTCCTACTGCGTGACTTTAAGGCGACTTCTACAATCAAGATCACTAGTGACTAGTGTTGACTCTATTGATCACAAGAACACTTGTCTTCTGTCCTTATATCATTCAATCTCTTTAATAACATGTATCAACATTCAAAATAATGAGTTCCTCCCTCTCACCTTAGTATTTTTCATTTATGACCTAAGGTACACATAAATATCTGCTTAGGTATGAAACATACATAAATATGTATAGTTTAAGAACAATTCTGTCTTTTCTTTCAAAGACATCACAGTTCTTTGAGACCTTACACTGTATTCTCTAGTAGCAGAGCCTGAGATGAGTATTTTCTCTTTTAGAATTTTTCTTTTATGTTGATTTGTATACAAAATTCATATACATTGTGTTTCACACTAACCCTCATTCACATTGTATTTCATACGATCTTTTCCATTCATTGTGTTTTCTAAAATTAATCATTGACTATGTCTTCCATCACACCATCTTTTCAGATTCTTGCTGGATCTTTTCCATTTCTTTACTGTACCCCTCCACCCACTAAATTGTGTAAGCCTGTGATTTCCCTGCTACCCATCCTCACCCTTCTACTCCCACCCCTTTCCTATTTGGACCCCATACATGTTTTACTAGTTATCCTTCTGGTTTTGCAATATTGGTCTTATGCAGTATTTGTCCTGATGAGATTGAGTCAGTTTACTCAGCATAATACTCTCCAGTCTCTCCCAAGTTAAGCAGTTCTGCATGAAACCATTTGTTCAAAAATTCTCATCTCCACAATTACTACATAACTTGAGAGGAGAATTTCTCTCAGGAGAAATCGATACAGAAGTAAGGGAATAGTAAGGAAGAAATAAAACAAAAATGTAATTTCCTTTGAAATTTGGCCTCAATCTGATCTTACAGGAAAATGTTGAGCGTGAATGGCACCCCAGGTTTGTCTCTTCTTGAGACAGGGCTCCAGGCTTTCGTATGCTGATCTGAATCAGGAAGGTTTACACTACCAAGCATGCCATAGCCCAATAAAGGGAATCTGGGCATGGTACCAAGAGAAATACTACATTTCATTTTTATATATCTATCACTATGCTTTCTGCGGTATTTCCCAATTATTTTTATTTGTTATAAAATATTTGTGTGGAAAATCTTTGCAGTACTAAGCATATGTTGTTGTTGTTTAATGCCGTCAAGTCGTAGACGACTCATAGTGACCCTATGAACGAACAGCCTGAGCACTGTTCGTACATAGAGTTTCCAGAGGCAAGCCATTTTGGAAGTGGATGCCGCTAAACATATTTAATAGTATTAATTGTGTATATTTTGTAGCATTAATTACTATCTCTCAAAAAACTCTCATGGCTGTTGAGTTGGAATCTTTGTTCATCCCCTAGGGGTTTCCTTTTATATATATGTTTTTTCTGTTTGAGGTAATGAATGAACTTCCCCAAATTATTTAAACCATTCACATGATAGTGTTTATACTTGCCACTTTCTCTTATTTTCCATTCCTAATTCCTATCCAGAGTCAGACCTCTACATCCACCTACTTGAGTATTTCAGCAGAATCTGTAAGCTGGATTTAGAAGAGGTCCTGGTACTAGGGACATTATAGCCAATGTTAGATGAATCTTAGCTGAAAGCAGAGAGTACCAGATGAATGTCTATCTGTGTTTCATTGACTATGCAAAGGCATTTGACTGTGTGGATCACAACAAACTGTGACTGACTCTGAGAAGAATGGGAATCCCAGAACACTTGATTGTGCTTATGCAAAATTTATATTCGGACCAGGAAGCAGTCATCAGAACAGAGCAAGGAAACACTGTATGGTTCAAAATCAGGAAACGTCTACACCAAGGATGCATCCATACTTTTCATTCTATATGTGGAACAGATCATCCAGGAGGCTGGGCTCTATGAGGAGTGTAGCATCAGAATTGGAGGAAGACTCATCAACAACCTGAGTTATGCAGATGACACAACCTTGCTTGCTGAAACTGAGGGAAGCCTGGAGCAGTTGTTACAAAAGGTCAAGGATTGCAGTTTTCAATATGGTTTGAAGCTCAACATAAATAAAATAAAAATTCTCACCACTGGGCCATTTGTCAGCATCATGATAGATGGCAAAGAGATTGAGATTGTTAACAGCTTCAGCTTGCTTGCCTTCACAGTCAGCTTTCTTGGTACCAGCAGCCAGGAAATAAAAAGATGAATTGCATTGGGAAAGTCTGCTGTTAGGGACCTCTCCAGAATACTGAAGAGCAACACTGCCAGTCTGGAGACTGAGGTGCACCTGATCTAGACCATGTCTTTGTAATTTCTTGCTATGCATCAGAGAGCTGGACAGTGACTAATGATGACAGAAGAAACATTGATGCCTTTGAGTTGTAGTGCTGGAGAAGAGTATTGAGTACACCATGGACTGCTGAGAGAAGAAACAGGTTCATCCTAGAGAAGGTAAAACCAGGGTACTCTTGGAGGCAAGGATTTTGAAGCTCCATCTGACATACTTTGAGCCTGTTACAAGGAGGGAGCAGTCCTTGAAGGAGGATGTCATGCTTGGAATGGTGGAGGGACAGCACAAGAGAGGAAGACCCTGGATGAGATAATTCACTCAGTGGCTAGGATAATGGGAGTAGGTGTGTCAGAGATAAGGAAATAGGCTCGAGATAGAGCAGGGTTCAGAGCTGTTGTCAAAGGTTTGCTATGAGTCAGAGTTGACTCAATGGCACATAACAACAACAACAACTTGAGTGTTTTACAAACTTCTTAAATCAGGCAAGTACAAAACTCATTTCAGTGTCTCTATTTCCATCCTTCACCCTAAAAACAAAACAACAAAAAACAAAACTAAAACTTCCTTCTGCTTTGTTTCCCCTGTGTTTGTGAAATGTGCTACCATGCACCTGGTTGCTCAAGCCAGAAACTTTTTGGTAATTTTCTACCCTTCACTTTCCATATTGATTCAATTACCAAGATCTGTCATTTTGCCTCCCACATATCCATTACTCATCTACTTACTTCTTCCAAATATCCCACTGTCACCCTAATTGAATCCAGTGGGGGATTTCCCCCTCCCTACTTGGACTACAGCCTTGAATTGGTCTTACTTTCTAAAATTTTGTTTCCATACAAGCTGATTTCCACTCTGTACCAAGAGCTTCTTCTATAATGCATGTTGAGTCATACTTATTCTGTTCCCTTTAATGATATCGTGTTGTTTCAAGAATAAGATCCAAATACCTTAACATTATTTTATAATGCACATTGTGACCTAGTCTATATCTAACTTGTAAGCCTTATTTCTTAGTTCTCCTGCCAACCAAATTCTGTGTTCTCTACTCAAGTAGATTTTCTTTTATATTTTAAAATCTAATGCCATCCAGTAGATACCATTACTAGAAATGACATCTTAGCCTTGAAATATTTCAGTATTACAGAGGGCATTTTATCCTTTGGTAATGCCTTTATTCTTTTTTCCATTTGGCTATTGTCTATATTCTTGGAAGCATGTACCTTGAAGTAGAACTTGCTCCTAATTATTTCAATTATTTCTGCAGAGTTGATTATCTTAATGTACTTCAAATCTGTCCATCATCTATCAGCATTTTCACAGTAATTGCTGAGGCTAAGGGCTACATACAGAACTGGGCTTATATGTCCTCAGACTCTTGGTACGTTGGACTCTTTTTTGTTCTTTCCTTCAAATTGATAAATAGACCAATTATGCTCGACTAAGCTCATGTGTCTTATTTCATTGGGCCATGTTCCAAAAAGATTCTAAATAAATGAACCTTGCACTTAAAATGTTAAAACTGTTTCTTTTTAACGCAAAGAATAAAGTTTCTAACAATGTGTATTTTGTTATAATCCCAAACAAAGATTTTGAACAGAATCGACCCCTTTTTCTTGGTGAATTAAAATAATCTTAAGAATATTTACTAAATATAAGGGAGCTCTGGTGGCCTAGTGGCAAGAAGCTGCACTGCAATCGCAGAGCTATGTGGTTCGAATCCACCAGATGCTCTGCTGGAGAAGGAGGGGCAATCTCCTCCTGTACCAGTCAGATCTGATTTGATAGTACACACAAAAAATAATGATATAAAATAAAAAATTTTTAAAAAGAATGTTTACTAAATCTATATATGTTTTATATAGTTGTATACCCATCTATGAACTTTGACAAATGATAGTTATCGAAAGGCTTCAGGCCTTTTGTTCATAGGGTCACTATGAGTCATTCTCAACTCAAAGACAATCAACAACAACAACATCAACAACCCATCTTTAGTTTCTGTTGTTAACTTCCTGAGGGTT